TGGTGAATTTGAGTCGACTCACAAACCACCAGACACTGCGGGGTGACTTTTGAGTCGACTCAAAAGTCACTTGGTCTGGTGGAAGGGAAGGAAATGCATGCATGGCACATAACATGGTGATTTTGAGTCGACTTACAAACCACCGGGCACTGAGGGCCAAGTGGTTGGTTCGCCTCAAACTTGAAATGGAGTTGAGTGCACACATGGCAAAATGACACATGCAACGCTGCCACATGCAACGTTATGCCAGATGCAACGTTATGCCAGATTTAGCACTGCATCGAGTTGCAGACAGAAGCACCCACCGCAATACGGTCATGTGCCATTTGCTAGCGCACTCTATGTCGCACTGCAGAACAGGAGCACCCATCGCACAAGAACAGGAGCACCCATCGCACAAGAACAGGAGCACCCATCGCACAAGAACAGGAGCACCCATCGCACAAGAACAGGAGCACCCATCGCACAAGAACAGGAGCACCCATCGCACAAGAACAGGAGCACCCATCGCACAAGAACAGGAGCACCCATCGCACAAGAACAGGAGCACCCATCGCACAGGAACAACCCTCACTTTCTGCAAACCCTCCCTCAATGCAAACCCTCCCTCGATGCAAACCCTCCCTCCACACAACCCTCTCCCCTCTACATCCCTCCCTCCACACACACACCTCTCTCTCACCATTCCAGGGAAGCACCAGTACCCGTTCCTGACGAACGAGTGCGTGCGGTTGAGATTCATCCTGTTGTTTGAGACGATTTTAAGTCGACTAAAAAGCTCTCACCATTCCGGGGAAGCGCCAGCACCCGTTCCTCACGAACGAGTGCGTGCGGTTGAGGTTGGACCCGTTGTGAGTCACAAACACGTCCTCCAGCCGCATCACCTGCAGCGCACTCGCCCCACGCGCGTTGAAATCCTTCCTGTGGGAGCACGTCTCGTCAAACGGCGCCCGCCCCGTCCCCTTCCTCCACTTGTCCAACGCAGTGCTATCATTTTTAAGGGGGCAGTTTATAGGGGGGATGATTTCAGTCTCGGGTTCGTCCACGAGGTGGGGGTTCCAGCAGGCCTGCACGTTGGGGAAGCGGGTGGTGCATGAGCCGAAGGAGGGGCAGGGAGGGCCGTGGCACCCGAGCTTCTTCACCCAGTCTGACTCGCCTGGGACACTCTCTGCTCCAGCACTCTCCTTTAAAGCACTCTCCTTCAAAGCACTCTCCTTTGAAGCACTCTCCTTTGAACCACTCTCCTTCAAAGCACTCTCTGCTAAAGCACTCTCGGCTGGAGCACTCTCTGCTGAAGCACTCTCTGCTGGAGCACTGTCCGTTGAAGCACTTGTAACGTTTCCGATATAATTTCTTGCATTGCCACTTGAGTTGCTCTCTGAAATGCCATTGGAGCTGCTACTCGAACCGTCACTTGAACCGCCACCTAAGATGGCACCTGAAGTGACACATGAAATGTCGCTTCCAGGTCCAATTGGAGTGTCGGTTAAGTTGGAGGGCCACGGCTTGCGGAGTGGGAGGCTTTCGAAGAAGCCCATGAAGACAATCGACAAGCGGGAGGCGTCTAGAGGGCACCCCAGCGGGCGAAACACAAGGTTGACTCGCTCCGGGTGATGCCTGGCGTGGGATGGTAGGGAGGAGAGGGAGGGATGGAGGGGGGAGGGAGGGAGGGAGGGAGGGAGGGAGGGAGGGAGGGAGGGAGGGAGGGAGGGAGGGAGGGAGGGAGGGAGGGAGGGAGGTAGGGAGGGAGGGAGGGAGGGAGGGAGGGGGAAGGGAGGGGGGTGGGTGTGAATAACAGGTGGAAAGAGAGAGGGGAAAAGAGGTAAGATGTTGGGCAGGCGAGAAGCGTCGAGACGGCACCCTACCGGCAAGAGTACAAGTTTGAATCGCTCTGGGTGATGCCTGGCGTGGTTGGCGGGAGGGAGGGGCGAGGAATGGATGAAGAGAGCGACTACTTTTGAGCCGACCCAGAAGCCATCTTGTCACGGCGGTGTGGGTGTGTGTGTGTGTGTGTGTGTGTGTGTGTGTGTGTGTGTGTGTGTGTGTGTGTGTGTGTGTGTGTGTGTGTGTGTGGAGTTGTGTGTGTTTGTGTGCGTGTGTCCGTGTGGGTGTGTGCGTGTGTGTGTGTGTGTGTGCGTGTGTGTGTGTGCGTGTGTGTGTGCGTGTGTGTGTGCGTGTGCGTGCGGGTGTGGGTGTATGCGTGTGCGTGTGGGTGAGGGCGTGTGCGTGGGTCTGTGGGCTTTCCAAGAAAGGCCAAGTGATTGAAACCGCTCGAGCAATTACCGTTGACTGGCAAGTACCATTGACTGGCAAGTACCGTTGACTGGCAAGTATCGTTGACTGACAAGTACCGTTGACTGACAAGTACCGTTGACTGACAAGTACCGTTGACTGACAAGTACCATTGACTGACAAGTACCGTTGACTGACCTCAAATGCGCTGGCAGGTAATAATTGAGCTCGCCTTCGAACTCGCCCACCCTGCCCACCAGATGACGGCTCGTAGAATCCTGGCCGTTGATCTCTGCCAGGAGTAATCATTACAGTTTATGGAAGGGAAAGGAAGGAGAACGGGAAGGAGAAAGTAGGGAAAGGAGGGGTAAGGGTAAGGAGAAAATCGGGATAAGGAGGGTAAGGAAGGGGAAGGAAGGGGAAGTGGAAGGAGGAGCAAACAAGAAGGAGCGCTGCAGCTTCTCTGGCTACCTTTCACCACGGTGGTTGTTGCTTATGAGAATTCTCAAAAGCAACACCAACATAGCTGGTTCACGGTGGGTGGGTGGATTGACGTGAATCGTCAAGAAGAAGACGTGGTGGCTCTAGAGTCGACTGAAAAAGGAGCGGTGTGGTGGATCGTGGTGGAATGTGGTGGAGCGTGGTGGCCTACTTTCCTCACCAGCATTCCCGGCGGATTCAACCGTGGATTTGACGGGTGCGGCCTTGACAAGAACCGTCAGAAAGACGGCAACAACCACCGGCAACAGCCGGCGACCACTAGCCATGATGGCGCGTGTCACCATCATAAGATTCCGTCAGATACTGAGAGTAGTGGAACCGGCGGTTTGCTATGAGTAGCAGCCTGGTTCGCGAGCCTCTGACAGGTGTTCAGTGCAAAAGCGAGGCTCACAGGAAATGGACAGAGCACGCAGAGAGCAGACTAGCACAAGCCTTGCCGCTTCTGGGTTGGCTTGACATCTTATCATGCTGCAACTAGTACTGGTGCAGGCTTCAGCGGGCGGTGCACAGACGCACAAGGAGACGAGGGAGCTCACCTGGCGATTGGGCGATGGGGACTGGGGAGCGCGGTCGCACACAACATTAGCGAGATTCGCGAACAGATGTTCGAAGTGCTCGTTGGAGTTTTTCCGAGTCGTCCCGAGATACTACTAGTACGTGGCGAAGTCGGCGAGAAAAACCAGGCTGTATCCCTTCGCCGCCGCAAAACGCCTCTCACAGCCACAACAACCAGTTGCGGGCATACGCAGCACGGTCACAAGGTTTGCTTGTGAATCTAGCAGGCGTTTGCCGTCCAGATTCCGTTGGCTGGCGTGGCTCGCGGCGAGGGCGATTCGGGTGACTGGAGTGACCTTGGCGCTGGATGATGTGATTTGGTTTGTCCCCAAGCCCACATAGTAGTTGTCAGGTGATCACCTGACGGGCCAGCGCCCAGCGATGTCCACCTGACCACGAGAGAATAGACCCGGCGTCGTACTGCGTACGCAATCAAGTGGGTTCAACCCTAAAAACGCGAGGGTGTGTGGGTTACTCGTCCCGTTTATGGCTGCTATGCCGCGATGATCAAAGCAAGCTGCGCCGCGCCGCAGATATTTTTTTGCCATTTTGTCACTCTTACATGACGTAACCTACACGGAAAAGCTTTAGACCTGACTTGCAAAGTACCCTGAGCTAGTCGTACAAACCCCAGCAAATGACTTTCCTTTCCGCGATGCTGCAAGGGCCGGCGCTAATGACGACCTCGCAACAGCACTACCTCTACACCTGATTCTCGCTAATATCAAAACGTGGGCACCGAGGCGCATCCTTGTGGTGGTGCCCTGGATTTGAAATTGGGGGAACAATAAGGTTCCCTCCAATTTCAACACTCTCCGCGACATCCAATTTCAAGAAGCAAAAATTCCCGCGAAAGAAGGTGACTGTAGAAAAGGGTATTTCTAGAGGAATTAGAGGAAAAAAATCCTGTTCCTGAAAACGACACTTCTTAGCGCAGGCTTATTACGGGAACATCCGTATCACTGCAGGCGCTTGCAGCATCGCAGAAGCAAGTCCAAACATTCATCATGCGACTTACTACTAACTCAGGGTTCTTCCAAGTGTAGGTTACGTCATGTAAGAAGTGAGGAGTGATTCTATTTCCTATTTTCTCCCTGTTTAGGGTTGACCCCATTTCGATTGCGTAATGCAGTCCTACGGGGTCTTGTTCTCTTCGTGGTCAGGTGGATGTCGCGGGACGCCGGCCATCACCTGGCAGTTGACCTGACGGTGATATCGTGGCTTGCGGACAAACTCACTTCCAGCGACGGGTGACTCCAGTCACACCGAATCGCTCTGGAGCAACGCGAGACACCGGAAATCTGGAATTTAACACACGTTAGTTCAAGTGCTAAGTTTGCGACGATCGCCAGCATCAATGCTCTGCCTACCTAGCAGCCGCGAAGGCGATAGTTACAGCTTTTTCGCCGACTGTGCAGTGGTCAGGACGGCTCGGATTACCTCCGACGAACATTTTGAGCTTCTGTTGCGAAATCTCGCAAATTCACACAGCCGCACATGTGCGCGAGCGGTCCCATCCCCAGTCCCATCCAAAATCCCATCGCCAGTCCAATCGTCAGGTGAGCTCCCCCGCCTCCTGTGCCGCGTCCTGTGCACCGCGGCCCGCTGAAGCCTTCAAATTAAGTGCTCGACCCCTTGTATTGTCTTGCGCTCTCGCCAGACTGCTTTCTTAGTAAGCAGCCGTTTTTACTGTCTATCGCTTGACGGACTTCATGACGGTGGCACGCGCCATTGCCAGTGGGAGTCGCTTGCTATTGTGGGTGGTTGCCGTCATCTTGACGGTTTCCGTCAATGCATCATCCGGCGGATTCGCGGTCGAATCCACCGTGCATGGAGGTAACGAATTCGCCGTGCATCTCCGTACTAGGCTCTGCTCCGTCGAATCTGCCGTGCATCAGTCTGCCGTCCACCTTGTCGTCAAGTTCTTGATGATTTCCCGTCAATTCATCCACCAACCACGGGGACAAGTAATCAGCGGCGCTCATTCTTTCCCTGTACTGTGGCCCATTCTATTCCTCTTCCTCCCTGTCCATCCCTTTCCTTTCCTTCCCTTCCCCTTCCTTCCCTTTCTTCCCCTTCCTTCCCTATCCTTCCGCTTCCTTCCCTTTCTTCCCATTCATTCCCTGTCCTTTCCGTTCCTTCCCTTTCGTCCCCTTCCTTCCCTGTCCTTTCCCTTCCTTCCCCGTCTTCCCCTTCCTTCCCGTTCTTCCCATTCCTTCAACCCAGCAGCGATCAACGGCCAGCAATCTCCGAGGTCGCGTCTGGTGGGCAGGGTGGGCGAGTTTGAAGGCCAGCTCAACTATTACCTGCCGCAACGATTCAGGTCAGTGAGCACACTCTTATTAGGTTTTTTCAGGTCAGTAAGTCAACACTTGTCGAAGCCGCTTTTCAGGTCGGTTTGGCCCTATCTGTCCTAGACCCTTTCGCAAGGCGATTTTTTTTCAGGTCGGTCTTCTCTCCCTCTCTCTCCCCTCAAACTCTTTCCATCCACTCTTCGCCTCCTCTCGCTCCCTGCCACGCCAGAACCCACCCATAGCGAGTCGACATTCTGACTCGTCCCCTGGGCTTTCCTATCAACACATCTCGCCTGCTCAATGTGTTCTTTCCTGCTCTGTCTTCCATCCATTCTCCCTGCCACGGCAGGACCCACCCAGAGCGAGTCGACCTTCTGACTCGTCCCCTCGGCTTTCCTATCAACACGTCTCGCCTGCCCGGCGTGCTCCTCGGGTATTACGAGAACGTGTCGTTCTATAAATGTGTCCTCCGCAACTTGACCAGCTATCCAAACCAGCTAGCCGTCTCCGGTGACGCTTCAGGTGACGATTCCAGCGTCGGTTCCCGTGACGTTCCAGGTTTCAATTCGGGGTACAGTTCACGCGCCAACCGTACAGGCGTGTCAAGCACGTCAGTGGGCGGTGTCGTAATTGACTTAGTAGAATGGGCCCTGCCGCAGCTGCGGTGCCACGGCCCTCCCTGCCCCTCCTTCGGCTCATGCACCGCCCGCTTCCCCAACGTGCAGGCTTGTTGGAACCCCCACCTCGTGGATGGACCCGCGGATGAGATAGTCCCTCCTATAAACTGCCCCCTTAAAGGAGACAGCGCAGGGCAGGACAAAAGGACTCATATGGTGCCGTTTGACGAGTCGTGCTCGCACAAGGGGGACTTTAAGAAACACGGGGCGTCCGCGCTGCAGATGATGCGTCTGGAGGACGTGTATGTGATGGACATCGGGATTGTTCTCAACCGCACGCACCTTTTCTTACGAAGCGGATGCACGGGCTTCCCAGGAACGGTGAGAGGGGGTTAGCATGAAGAGGGGAAAAGGGGGGAAGGGGGGGGGGGGGGGGGGGTGGGGAGGTGGGGGGGGGGGAGAAAGGGAGGTGGAAGCGTGGGGAAGTGTGTGTGTTTTCGGTCAAACCCTAAAACCCATGTACGACGCGAGCCACATGGATGTTACGACCTGCCAGGATTTGTGGGCGCCACAACGTGCTGCCAACTCTTGTGTGGCCATCGTGCTGTGCTGTGCTGTGCTGTGCTGTGCGGTGCTGTGCTGTGCTGTGCTGTGCTGTGCTGTGCTGTGCTGTGCTGTGCTGTGCGGTGCTGCGCTGCGCTGCGCTGTGCTGTGCGGTGCTGTGCTGTGCTGTGCTGTGCTGTGCTTTGCTGTGCTGTGCTGTGCTTTGCTGTGCGGTGCTGCGCTGTGCTGCGCTGTGCTGTGCTGTGCTGTGCTGTGCTGTGCAATGCTGTGCTGTGCGGTTCTGTGCTGTGCGGTGCTGTGCTGTGCGGTGCTGTGCTGTGCGGTGCTGTGCTGTGCATTCCCTTGGCTATCTATCACCAGGTGACATACGATGTGGGCCACGTGGTGCATGAGCTGTCCACGCCTGTGTTCAACTGGGCGTACCGAGTCGGAGACAACTTCTACCACTTCCTCATGGAGCTATTTCCGCTCTTCCTTGTTGCTGCGCCCCTCATGCCCTCCACGCTGCGACACCTGCCCGTACTCGCCAGGAGTCGCCAGGTGCGATCCCGATGGGACCCAGGTGGGATCAGGTGGGATCCAGGTGGGATCCAGGTGCGATCCAGATGGGACCCAGGTGGAGACTGGAGTCTAGAGAGCCGCAACTGTATGCATGTGGCCAGGTGGTGTGTTGTAATGAAGCTCATTCCTTACAGCAGCCGAATCAAGCATCTGCAATTGTGAAAATTCCGCCCGCTGCACTTGTGAGTTACTCACAGCGTTCACGCAGCAGCACCTGCCTGTGCTCGCCACCTTTTTCATTCCCATCTTATGTCCATCTTATGCCCTTCATTCCTATTTCATGCCCATCTCATTCCATCTCATTCCGTTTCATTCCATCTCATTCCCTTCTCATTCCATCTCATTCCCATGTTAAGTTTATGTCTCTAACCTCAGGTGCGACTGTACGAGCACCTGGGTGCGCCACTCATAAGCAAATAATGAGTCCCCCAAAATGTGGTCCCCCTGTCCTTCCCACCAAATGCCTCCCCCACAGGTGCGAATGTACGAGAAACTGGGTGTGCCACTCATAGGCATCCCACTCGATTCGATTCGCCTGCTCCCCACATTCGACAACGACCTGTTTCATGCGAAGGTGGTTTATCAGGTAATTCATGCATGTTTGCATGCATGGTTTACCTCTCCAAACAGGTGCATGCATACATGCCGGTTACATACTCCATTACTATTTCTGGGTGGAAATCAACTCCCTCAAATCATGGAAAACCTTGTGTGCTACATGTGCATTGTGTAGAACTATCAAAAACACTAGGAAATTGTTTTTTTTTTTTAATGGTGTCTGTCACTGCAGGATGTGAGCATACAGGATTAAGATATTTGCGAAATCATTATCAGTATGTGTGTCATATTTCCATTCCACTGTATGGCATATGTATGGCACGCAGTTTAGGGGACATGGCCCATTACATGGATAGATTCGATAATAACAAGTAACTCGGTGTGTTTGTTTATATATATATATATATATATATATATATATATATATATATATATATATATATATATATATATATATATATATATATATATATATATTTCTGTCATCCACCTTCCTCCCCCAGCCCATTTATCAGGACTGCCAATATCCCAGCCGGTCGCTCTGGCAGATGATGCGGCGCCGCCATCTGCTGCACCCCTCCGGCATCCCTCTCTTCAACCCCGACTGGACCTACCGCAGCCACCGCCCTCTCTCCGCCCACGAGGCTCGCTCCCTCCCCCCCGACTGGGTAGTCGTGCTGGCGAAGCGGCTGGAAAGAAAGCCACGGGCTATGCTGAATTTCGGGGAGGTGGAGGCGGAGGTGGTGAGGCGGTTTGGCCGCGAGAGAGTGGTGGTATTTGATGGGTCTCTGCCGATTCTGCAAGGTGAGGGGTTTGGGAGAGCGTTGGGCTTGGGAGAGCGTGAAAAGGTGAGTGTGTGTATAAACATGTGCATGTATGTGCCCCCACGCACGAGTGCGTGTGTGTATATATGTAGGCGCGTCAGGAAAACTACAGAGGCGCTTCAAAAAATAATTTAGACACTTAAGACCTTCCCTTTCATGCTGTCTTGTGTCTCAACAATTTCCTAATATCAGAGCTCGTTTTGCAAACATATTTTTTCATACTGGTAGCAAACTCCCTCATTTAGTGAATATGTTTTGGTGGACATGATTCTACATAGCAGGCCATGCATTTGCGTATGCCTGAGGTACATACTTGCGCATGGTGTATCATACTCAACTCCCACCACCCTTCCGTTCTTCCACTCCTTCCTCTTCCCCTTCCATCGCCCCCTCTCAGCCCGTGTACTCTTTTTGCGAGCACGCCTCTACATTGCATCGCATGGAGCCGGGTTCACTAACATGATCTTTATGCCGGAAAAGGCTTCAGTGCTCGAAATCCGGCCTCATAGATGTCCTACACATGTATTTAATGGTCTCGCCGCTGCCTGCTCGCTGCGGTACCATCTCGTGTTCAGTCAGGGTGTTTGTTCGTCCTCTGTGGTGGCTAATGTGACGAGTGTGGCTCGGGTGCTTGTTGCAGTGCAAGCTAAGTTTCAGGCGGAGGATGGTGGAGGTGAGGGTAGGGGTCCAAATACCATATTCTCCCGAACATAACACCCTAGGGTGTTATAATAAATACAGGAAAAAAATGGGGGGAGGGGGGGGGGGGGGGGGGGTGGGTGGGGGGGCCTTCTCATCGGAAAAAGCCACATTCTACCTGGGTCCATTCATATGACATTCTCCAGTATAAGGATTTTGATAAGCTTGGGTGTTTTCAAAGTTGGTTTAACATCACAGTCAGAGGCTAGAACGCACGTTTCGACGCCAACACATTCACCCCCTTGAAATTGCTAGTTGGCACCTCTTTGGGCACTTGTTAGCGAAAAGATGTACCAGCGTGGCAAGAGTGAAAAAAGTGGGAGGGGGGTGATTCCGGCAGATTCTGTTACGAACAGTGGAAAATGAATGAACTACTGTGCACTCCTTACCGCAGCAATCGAAGCACAAACCTGAAGTCGAAAGGGCGGAAGTGACAGGAAGAGTCGCACGGTTACGAAAAACATCTGCACCGTCGGGCAGACAGCATCAAGCAGCAGTAGTGGCGAGGATCCTGCCCGAACGGTTTCGTAACCAACTGGAGTCGCACGGTTGAATTTCGCTGTAATAAGGGAATGTGCCGTAAGCCCCCGGATAGAAGCGCAGGCCTCAGATAAGCGCCGGCGCTTATAAAGGGATGAGGGCGCTTATATCCGGTCCTCAATTATAAGCGCACCCCCTAAAAATTTGTGATTTATTATAAGCGCATGTCGAATATTACATGAAAATCAGTCGAAATACAGAAACGAAATTCCCCTTACCAGGGAAGCGAAGTACAGTTCCACTTTCCCACTCACATCACACTTGCTGCGCGTCTAGTCAGCACGCGCTGTCGCTTAGTCAGCATGTGTTGGCAGGGAATCAATCCCTGCCAAGTTGCTCGAGAGTCAGATTCGCGACCCCATATATTTTCGACTCGATGACACTTGGAAGAACGAGATCTACAATTTGGTGTTAAAAAAAGCTTAATTTCATTTTGCCGTTATATAAACGCCGGCGCTTATAAATTTCCTCAATTATAAGCGCACCCCCTAAAAAACAGTGTTTTATTACAACCCCAGGGGCGCTTCTATCCGGGGTATGACGGTACCTCTTGAAGTACATGGCTAGACAAGGACGATTGGTATCCACTTGTACTCTTATTTATATTCCCGTATTTGCATGTTTTTATCATCTCAAGCATTTTACATTCATTCTGCTATTGAGGTCAACGTCCCACCACCACTAATCAGTAGTGTGCAAAACTTCCTGAGTGATCCTAGGCACGATCAAATTCTGATCGCAGCATGGTACGGTATGAGAGCGACTCGGGAATCCTTCGCACTGCCACCTCCAGAAACCTCGGCGAACGAAAAGTGGCGTCCGACATACGCTCGCGGGTGAGAATGGCCGGAGGATCTGGCGGTCAGACAAATCTGACGGCTGAAGCGCAGACCATCCCGGCTGCGATAAGCGAGGAAACGACGACGATTGGAACCGCCGTCCTCGCACAATTGCTTCAGCGACTCACCAGCCTGGAGCAAGGACACCAAACATTGCGGAATGGCGACGCGGGAACATCTTCTCAACCCACTCAACCGGCCTCGAATGGACAGAATTCCGCCCCACACACCTTCTCCCTCGACACTAATGGCTCAACACCCAAGACTCCCCGTCCTAGCGAATAAGCAATTCTCTCTGCACAATCAAGGTTCTTGAGCATATAAAAAATAAAGATAAGTGTGTGCTTCGATGGCAGAGATTTCTATACCTAGAGCTTCGAGCTGGAGCTGCTGCTACAAAACACACAGATTTTCCATTATTTTGACGGGAGCTACTCGGGATCTACTGAAGACACTGGCGACACCAAAGCAAGGTACTACAACGAGTCTCTGATGGGGTGCGGCGTCTTACTACACAACATGTCGTCGTCAGAGCAGTTGAACATTCGATCATACAAGACAACACCTGCTCCGGCCCTCGACGCCTGGCGCCACCTAAACGGAGTCTACCAACCGAAGGACTCTGTTTCTTGGAGCTGCCTGCTCTAGCAGCTACTAGAGACAAAAATGGCCACTGGGGAGAAGGTCAACAGCTATATCAATCGCTGTCGGAGCCTCCGCGATCAAATCGCGTAGTTGGGAAGCTCGATCTCAGAAGAAATCTTCGTCAATATCGTGCTTCAAGGGCTCGGCCCAGAATGGCGGCCCTGCAAGGCGCTTCTCCGACAGCAGGGGGTCATCTTGGAGGCCGCCCTATGCGCTACCCTCCTCGTCGAATAACGGAATATGGACCAGCAGCGACCAGCGCCGCGACGAGACAGGAACGCCTCACCTTCTACGCCGACAACACTGAAGAGCGACGGCCATGGTGCCTTTACTGCAAAATTTGCAGAAATTTCGGGCACCTGGCAGATGGATGCAAGTGCCAATCTCGCCCTCGCCAGACCAATCCGAGCACCTGGTCGGGCCGACAAGACGCATGGAACGACTCCTGTCCAGCCCAGGGGTATCAACCCCCTTCGCGCAACCTGAACCCAACGGTTCAACATCAGTAGCAGCTGCAGCCCCAGCCTGCTCCAGTCCGCAATGTCATAGGAAACATGGCAATAACAAGCGGGTCGCATCGTCCTCGCGCTCGCTCACCATCACCTGGGCCGGCACCTCACCCAAATGGAGCGTTCTCGAACAACAACTCGTTCAGCACACGTCACGACTTCAGCGACGACGACGCCCAAGATTGGAATCTCCCAATCCCGCTGCTTGAGAGTCCACCGCACATACCTGATACGCGGGTGGCACCGATCGACTGGATCGCGCGCGAACAGTTTCTGAAGTTTGACACACCACACATCGTAACTCCGCAACTGGCGCTGCTCGCACGTAACGACAACAGGCGCTACAACACGTGGTACCTGGATAGCTGCTGTGGGTATTACATGGTGGGCTCCGAGCGTTACATATCCAACGCCGTCGGCACATCTGCAGTCACCTATGTCACCGTGGCGAACAACACGCGCTTGCGCGCGAGCGCGAAAGGCATTGTTGTGCTCAAGGCTCGAGGGAGCAGGACGTACATAACGCTGAACGACGTGCTAATCGTGCAAAATCTGCGCTTCAATCTCCTCTCAGCGGCACAACTCATGAACTGCAGAGTTGACCTCAACACCGACCCCAGGACGCGCGACATCCTGCTCCAATACACGATGTCCAACAACAACCGCAGGCAGATCGGAAGAGCGCACTCAGAGAACGGAGTCTACGTCCTCGACTTCGATATACCTGACTGTAGCAGCGATTCGCAGGAGCTTATCGTGTGAGAAAAAAAACAAGGAATTACTAGAATGAGAATAGTACAAGGTTTGTATAGGCAAAACCTAAGAGGGCTGTACCCCATAAGGAGTGCCCCACTACAGCCTAGAGTATAGTTCTTACACACCCCCATATGCAAAGTGGGGGACAATCAAAAGAACAAAGCAAAGGTCAAGCTCTGGGTGGATCACGACCTCACCACGCATTCTCAGCACAAGCAAAAGGCCACAAGGCCAGTTCACATGCAGAGTTATATAAAGAGGAGAACAAGTAGTACAGTGATCACAACCTAGCAAGTGTAAGCATGCAGGTGCAGGCATACATAGATCACAGTACAAGCAAAGTCAAGAGGTGAGCAAGTAAGGCCAGGTAGGCACAAGACATAACATAGTATAAAAACGCCGATGATCACAAGGCTGAAGTGCCTTGGTAAAGATATCAGCAGTGTTGGCCCAAGTGGCCACGTAAGCAAGACGAAGCTGACCACGCTGCTGCAACTCTCGAGCAAGAAAGTAGCGCAGAGCAATATGCTTTGTTCTGTGCTCTAGTCTGTGCTCCTGACACAAGGCAAGCATGGCCTTGTTGTCGATGTACAGAACTGGAGGAGAACGAGGCGCCTCTCCCAAGTCGGTCAGCAGGTAGGTGAGCAGGCGTAACTCCTGTGCAGCCATGGCCCCAGCGTAGATCTCAGCCTCACAACTGGAGCTGAGAACAGAGGACGAGCGGGTAGACTGCCACGAAACAGAGCCGGAACCAAGGCTGAAGGTGTAACCCTGTGACGACCGCTGCGTAGCCAAGTCGTCAACCTAAGAAGCGTCTACGTGACCATTGAGGACAACTCGAGCCCGTCCTCCAAGCACGAGCCCCATGCCCGACGTACTGCACAGGTAGCGCAACACCCTCTTAGCTGCATCCATGTGCTCTGGTCGGTGTCTCCCAGGATTAACATAGCGTGCCAAGATGCTAAGAGGGTATGCCAGGTCAAGTCGAGTGCAGGTCATCAGGTACACGAGGCAGCCAACAAGCTCTGGGTACGGGCCACTTGGCTCTACGGACTCATCCGAAGGCAGAACTGAGAGCGAGTGGCGAGTAGACAGAGGAGTGGCATGAGGCGAGGAGTACGTGAAGCCGAAGCGCTGAAGGACCTGCTGCACCATGTGTGACTGAGTCAAGGTAATGGTGCGCCGTGCTCTGTCCCGCGTGATCTGCAAGCCAAGATAGCTGCAGCTCACCCAGGTCTGTGCACGTGTGTCTCTTTTGCAGCTCCGACTTCACGTGGGCGAGTCCAGCAGTGTCAGCAGTAGCAAAGACCAAGTTGTCGACGTACACGAGGATGTAAAACAGCGGCAGAGTAGTGTCGGCGCGGAGAAACAACGACGGGTCAATATTGGACGGAGCAAACCCAAGAGCCGCAAGCGTAGTCCTCAGTGTGTCGTGCCACTCACGGGGCGCCTGGCGGCGACCGTAGACTGGCCGCCAGAGGCTCCACTAGGTACCAGGAGGAAACGACCCACTGAAGCCAGGTGGGCGGCGCAGCCAGATCTCCTTGTGCAGACTGCCTTGTAGGAAGGTTGTGCTGAAGTCAACAGAGTGAAGCTCGTAGTCACGCTGAGCGGCGACGTGCAGCAGTACCCGAAGAGTGGTTATCTTCGGGGTCGGGGAGAAGGTCTAGAAGAAGTCAACTCCATGCCGCTGACTGAAGCCTTGAGCCACGTAACGCGCCTTGAG